TGTTGAAATTACATATTGTCCAATACATATATCTTCTGGATAATGTATAATTATAGGGCAATTAATTAGATTTTAAACAAAGATTAGCTAACCTTTTCTTTTACTTCCTTATCAGACAGGACATAAAACAAAATGTAAGCTTCTTGATTGAGAGCTTCTACATCTGACACTTTAGTGACCTATAAGAAATTGACATTAATATATTAATGCTTGGCATTTGTTTATTGTCAGTAAAATATAATTAAGTACATACATGTTGATCGTTCATAGAAAACCATATGTTGTCTACTTTACAGAAACTGGAATAGTGGCCAGAATTACAGCTATCCCCATTGTGCACAACAACACTGTTCAGAGTATATTTGCTGGCATGTTCCTATAAATAAATTATAGAACACAATAATATTTTATTGTCAGTTGTTATAGTTGGCCATTTTTAGACAAAATGAGTGCATTACTCCTGCATAATATACAAAGTATACTTGTCTAATGTTTACTAAATAATATAATTATAAGCTTTGACTAGCATTTTGTACCTGTGAAACATCACTAAACATGTTGCACTGTAGTGTTTCAGGATAGGCCAGTTTGGTCTTGATTTTTSTAGATCCTCCCATGGAAAATCTGCCCCAAAAAAGCTGCATTAAATTTTTACACAACCTAATTTATTAATGTTTAAGGCATTTCTGAATAGGTATAATATAATTTACCTCTTTAAATGAAGAGGAAGAACTTTAGGTAATTCTGTGACAGATAGTTTTTTCTCCGCTCTTGTCAGTTGACCACACCTATGAATTCAATATGTACATCCATTATTTTGGAATCCAGGCAGGCCAAGATTTTTAAGAACACCAAAATAAGGGGAAGTCAAAAGTGCAATGAATGTACCTTGCACAAAAGAATTTATTGTTACCATCAAGTATATCTGCAGCAAAGTAAGCTTCTAAAGCATGTACCAAAGATTTGCACGTTGCCTACAAAAATAAAAATATAGTCAATATATCAACTGGCAGGTTCAACATGACTCTTTACTAGCAAAAAAGTCGTACCGGAATGTCAATGCTACAGCCATACATTGGAGTAATACAATAGCTGGTGTGGTTGCATACACTGCATCTAACTGTAAATAAAAGATAGAAATTAATATTCTGACATTACAAAAAAAAAAATCTTTCTGGTTACTTAAAAACTGTTCTGGCATACCATTCAAATGATATTTGTCAATAATCCGTCTTACCTGAGCTAGTTGTCTCTCCTCCAATGTTTAAGAGTAAAGCTGGAAATCCACTGTAGAAATGGAAAAGAGAAAGTTCAGCAGTTGAATAAAAGATAGCTGTGAACCTACAATATTGAAAAAGGTCAGGTTCACATGCATAGATTGCATTTTTTAGTAATTCTAAATGCCACTTACTTTTTTTGAGTGCAAGTTTCTATAGCTCCCATGATATTCAAAAACAGCTCATGTGCATCTTGCTGATCAAATGATCCACCAGGCATTTTGATGAAATTCTCAGAGAGTACTGAATGCCAACCATATTAACAAATGAAGTACCGGTAGTTAATAAATAAAAAAAAGTTATTAAATTCTATCAACTAATAAAGGAGATAACTAAGAGTAAATAAATATAATTTAMACAAAGTACATAAAAAATATATTAAATATCAAAAAAAGATATAAAATATTTCAATATCATTCATTTATTATTATCACATTATGCATGAGTCAATAAACTGGCCTGCTCTATACTTCTCAATATAGCAATACATCAACAAGTGCTTTATTTTCTTACAACTCCACAATGCACCATCATTTATTCTTATTCCGTGTATATTAAAGCTTCCTTTACATGACTCTCATAATGATAAAATAATAATAATAATTTTACTTTTTCTTGCCTTCCTATCTAAGCCAGCACATAATATATTTTGATTAGTGACTAATTATCCTACAAAGTGTACTTGATACCTTGTAAGTTGTCAACGATATAACTAGGGACAAGTCAATAATACCATTATTGCCACCACACACATTGAGCTCAAGTTCTTTGAGGGCACAGACAATGCAAAATCCATCTCCATGATCTGCAAATTGATTGGGAAAAAAATATTACACGTGCACACTTTAATGTCTATGAATCCAAATATAGTTGGTTGTAGGTCTTACCGTGTTTTCCTTCGACTGCATGTTCTTTGATGAAGGTCATGAGAGGTTTGTTGTACACAATACACTGCAAAATGCAGTTTACAAAACACGTATTTCCTAGATTTTTGAGTCCTGGTTTCAAAAGATCCATTTCATTTGCGTGACGTGACAAGGAGATTTTTGTCGATTATATTACCGCACTACTTTATAGTGTGATTATCAAAGAAAATAAGAGAAGATACTAAAGAATTGTAGAATTTCCAGGCAGGTTCTCGACAGCCGGGTATCTAGTATTTTGAAAATYGTTCCCGGGACCTTGTTTACTAGTGAAATTTTTCTACTTGGACGCCGTGTATATAGTATGGCGAGACTCGGCGAATGCATATTCATCAAATGTCTAAGGATTCTAAGAAGCGCTTTGCTATCCTAAACAAAGTTAGAAGACTTTGAATCCATGAAAGTTATCATTAGCGGGGATTTTTAATAAAAACTAAAAACTCCCGGGTATCTAGTATTTTGAAAATCATTCCCGGGTCCCGGGTATCTAGACACTTCCTATTATTTTTAGACCTGCGCTAGACTAGTCTACTATTTACGGTGGCCCACAAGTCTCACGGCAAAACAAAAACTCACGGCAAAACAAACTAAACTCACGGCAAAACAAACTAAACTCACGGCAAAAGGCAATAAAGATATACAAAAGGCAATAAAGATATACAAAAGGCAATAAAGATATACAAGACTGCCATACTGCCAATACTGACCTACTGTCACACAGTATGGCATCATTGTCGTGCTTCGGATAGGAGAAAGTTGGAGCGTGTTCAGGAGCGAGCCCTGAGAGCTATGTACCGTAATAGGACTAGTGATTATGCAACACTTTTGAAATGGGCTAACCTAAGTACTCTGAACGATCGTAGATTACAAGATATAGCTATACTTATGTATAAAGTTAAAAATCGTTTAAGCCCTTCCTATGTTACTGACTTATTTAATCAGTCCAGTTGCAGATATAATCTTAGGAATTCTGA